GTTACTGGTGCCCGCTCGAGCAAATCGATGAGTAACGGGAAGTCAAGTAATCAAGTGATGATCAAAATTTTATTTGGGGGACACATTTGGCACTCCAGGATTGCTCCTTGGGGTTGTTCAGGTTGGTGCTTAGGGGACTACGTAATCCTGTGGGGGGGCCAAATGCAGGCCTCCCACAAGGGGAAAATGCATGCTTTAACCCTATACGATGTGCATAATCTAGTCCCTGGGTCATCAGCGGTTGGTGAAAGCAGACAGGGCAGGATAGGGTGGGACTCTTCGTTTTAATCCCTTCATCACCTGTGCTTGGTGGGAGCAGGCAGAGGTTCTCTGTGCCCCGTCCCTTGAGCCCGGAGTCCAAGGTCTCAGAGTTCCACTTATCTTGTTCTATGGGGCTTCACTCCTGCGTGAGTCTGGGCCCGAGTATCTGGAAAACGTCCTGGAGTGTGGTGGCGGCTGGGTAGTGGAGGTCGTGGATATACTCTATCTCCTCAGACCTCAAGCAAGAATTTTTAAGTCAGTCTAACTAAAGTTTTCTAATGCTTTTTGGTGGCTCAAAATTCAACAAATTCAGATTTATATAAGGTGATGAGGTTATAGAGGTAGATCTTAAAACAGTATGTTCAATTTTAATTCTATTTACACATATGGACTTGCTATAGGATTAACTTTAATGCAGTGTATCACATGTGCTATATAATTTATTGAGTTTTATCTTATTTCCACTAGGAACACACAAAGAACTTGTAATAATAAGACTTAAGAAAGTAATATGGGACTGTCACTGTCACTGCCCTCTCGTTGTTCATCAATTTTGCTCGAGCAGGCCCAGTAACATTGTGAGACTTGTTACTGTGTTTGGCATATCGAATATGTCACCAGTAGCTTGCCAGGCTTTGCCGTGCGGGCAAGATACTCTCAGTAGCTTGCCAGGCTCTCCGAGAGGGGCGGAGGAATCGAACTTGGGTTGGCCATGTTGGTGCTCCAGCCCAATATGGGACTCGAAATATTAAAGATTTAAGAGATCAAAAGATAAATTCTAATGCCCATATCCTACAGAAATCAAGAAATTGTTTTTCAGGTCCATAGTTATCCTCCACAGAACAGAAGAACCATTTGCTAGCGAGCACACTTGGTTTCAGGGTGCATATCTATGATGAAATAACCCATAAATGTTGGAGTTTCTTTTCTGTATTTACACATTCTGGAAGTGATTTCATCCATGGCTTAAAAAACATCTGTGTGTCTGTGATTCCCAGGGCTATTTCTCTTGCAGGCCTTTCTTTGATCTTTAAGTTTGTGTGTCCTTCTGTTTACTTGATATCTCCATTTGGACATATAATACATGGCCCAGTCTTCAAGGTCCCAAAGTAAATTGATCTTTGTCCCCAAATGTGGTTGACCCAGAGGATTCTACCACAGCCGATGACAGCCCCATCCTTCAATTGCTCAGCTGCAATCCAGTCAATCTTTGTTACCTCACTTTCCTGTCCCATTTCTAATCCCTCTGAGAAATCCTTTTGTTTTGACCAATGACACATCCAGAGCACTTGTCATCACTTTTCTTACCAATCAGATCCATGGCCCCAACCTCTTTCCCTGGATTATTGTGACATTTTTTCCCTTGGCTCTTTTGCCACAGTAGCGATCCTTTTAGATTATGTTGTTCCTGTTTCAGAACACTGCAGTGTTTTCCTGCTTTTTTTTTTCTTGTCTTTTTTTTTTTTGAAGTGGTGGTACAAATTAAATCCAGAGTCCTTAAAGATAACTTATAAATAATATACTTATCTTTTGTTTGTCTCTCTCTTAGAATATAAATTGATAAGGCAGCTATGATTTCTTTTTTTTTAATCACTACGTAGTTCTTAGAACAGAATTTGGCAGATAGTATGTTCTCATCAAGCATTCACCAGCTTCATTGAACCACAGAATTAGAAGAATTAAGCATTACGCACAACATGTTGGATGGTGCTGTCCTCAAAACAGTTTTAACAGTGGCAGAGGACTTTCTTACACTTACCTAATTCTCTCTCACAAGTTATTCCTTAATGTTGTGTATGCATGTATATGTATTTTTGTTTGTTTATGTGTGTTTCCTACATGTTTGGAGTCTGACAGACTCAGGGGTGGTTCTGGATCGAGTCCCTAAGACTTTCAGTACTGGGGTAGCTGAGACTGGAGTCTGATGGCTCCCGAGTTCCCATGTCTAGTGCCTGGGCTGGGCTGGCTAGAGTCAAGGGCTGGTGAGCACCGTTTTTTCCCTCGTGGTATCTTTCCTTGGCTGGCTTGTGCTTCCTCTCAGCGTGGTGTGTTCTGATGTCTAAAACAGCGACTGGCTCCCAAAGAGAAGAGTTTCAAGAGTCTAGGTCTTGGAGGCATGCACGGCCTTGGATGCCTCAGAACCTTTCTCGGCACTGACGTTGGAAGGAATTTGATGGCCTCCACATGAGACCAGCTAGCACAAGGGTGATGAACTTAGCTTATGAACAGATTATAGAAAGTTCTAGGGTTAGCACTGCTTAGTGGTCATTAAGAGGAACCATTTGGGTCCGTTTTCCTTACCAAAGTTCTGACTTTATTGTACACTAGTCGTCCCATGTTAAATTGTAACAGCTTGGAATTGAATTCTTCATAAAATGTGGATAAATAATCATATTACTAAACCCCTCTACCATTAGGCATACTTTGGTGGGAAGTTTTGAGGAACAGTAAGGAAAATGAAAGCAGATGTAATCATACAAAATTCGTTGTTTGAAGAACATTACAGTTGGAGGGCTGGAGAGATAATACAGATAGTTTGCTTCACATGTGGCCAGCCTATACTCGACCTAGGCATCCCATATGGACCCCCGGGGCATGGCATTGCCAGGAGTGATTCCTGAGTGCAGAACTGGACGTAAACACTGAGCACTGCTGGCTATGACCCAAAATCCAAAAGTAAAAGAACTCTACATTTGGGAGCTTGGGATATGGCATAAGTAGTAGAGCACATGCGCTGTAGCACTGTCCTCCCATTGTTCATCGATTTGCTCAAGCAGGCCCAGTAACGTCTCTATTGTGAGACTTGTTGTTACTGTGTTTGGCCTATCGAATATGTCACAGGTAGTTTGCCAGGCTTTGCCGTGTGGGTGAGATACTCTTGGTAGCTTGCAGGACTCTCCAAGAGGGGTGGAGGAATAGAACCTGGGTTGGCCGGGTCAGCCTTGTGCAAGGTAAACACCCTACTAGCTGTGCCATCACTCCATCCCAGAGAACATGCAAAGGCCCTGAATTAGGTCCCTGGCTAAGCTTGCCTTCCCCACTGTGACACAGCTGGGTATGGCTCTGATGACCCCCAAGAACTGCTGGGCTTAAGCACTACTGAGAGTGGCCTCTGTTTAAAAAATTAAAAAATAATATATGCACACACATACACATAGAAGACAGTGACTTGGGTTACATGTTGTTTAAATAAATATATATATATATACACACATATATATCTGAGGCTTTGATTTACATTTTTCTGACCATTAGTGGTGACATCTTTGTACCACTGGACATCTAAAGATCTCTCTAATATGGGTCCTCTGAGATACTCTTCTGAGTATGTATAACAGGTACTCTGCCCCTTTATAATTTTATTATTTGCTTTGTTTGCTATGGAGTTATATGAGTACTTTACTTTGGATATTAACCCTTTATCATGATTTGAAAATATTTTATCCCAACTGTCCGAACTGGTAGGTTACTATTTCATTTTGTTATTATGGAGAAGTTTTTTAGCAGTCTAGATTTCCTATTTTTTCAAATACCTTTGCTTTTATTGTCAAGTCCAAAAAGTTATCACTAAGGCTGATGCCAGTCTAACTTTTTTTTTTTTAAGGACCCTTATTGTTTCTAGTGACACTCATATCTTTGATGGTTTGGGGTTCATTTTGGTGTCTGGTGAAAACAGGGGTTCAGTTTTTCTTCTGTCTCTGGTTGCCCAGCTTTTTGATCACCATTTGTTGGAAAACTGGTGTTTCACCCTTATGCTCTTTGATTTTGGCTTTGGCAGTGGATCAAACGTGTGGGTTTATAGCTGGGCTATCTTATCTTATTCTTTTTATTGATGTATTTTTATGCAAAATATTTTTAATGCTCAAAATGTGCTTGGCACACAAACAAAAATTTCACTTTCATTTCTACATAATGTGCTTCTTATTAGACCATGTGATGCAGTACAGGGTGATTTTCTAAGCCACTGCCAGTTTAGGTAGGAAAAATCACAAAATGGCAGTCTAACAGTCATTTGGTATCTGTTGTTCTTCATCATTTATTTCCTTTGCTTCTGAACATTTGTAAATGAGTATCTGGATTCTTTTTGAAATTCCTTTATACCCTTATGTCAGAATGTTCTCTTTGTACTGGGTACAGTTGTAGTACATAAAAACTTTGGAGCAGTTGATCTTTTTTCCCATTAGTTTGTTTTAGTCTTGGGTAAAGAATATAACTTAATTTTGAGTTTTTTATATTTTTACATCACTGAGTACTTTTACTATTATTGTGAAGTAGAAGAATCGCTTAACTGGTAAGTCACATGGCCTGGAGTTTGGTGTCTGATTTGTTTGATCTTCCTCTCTGTGCTTAGTTATCTTTAAAAACACCTGTTGTACCTTACAATACAGTCATGTGAATTAATATTACCTTACAAAATAAATCCAGTATAAAAAGGCATAAAGTGATTTAAGACAGATAATATTCAAATACAAGGTATTTAAACTGAGGTGAAGATATGTATGCTTTTCAGAGTGTTGAAGAGGTTAAAGATTTCAAAAATGGTTAAATTGTACTGAAGACTGAATGCACAAAAGTTCTAGATCTCAATAGGCGGACCCAAGAAACAGATGACACGGTGTTCCCTAACACCTTTACTTTTTGAAAATTGTCGTTTTCATTTTTCCCCGGTGAATGGCCTTATTTCTGCTCCCTTTACCTGATACATTTACCCACAGATCTGCTTTTTTTTTTTCTTAAAGGGAGCTACTATTAAGAAAGACGAGCAGACAGGGGCCATCATTGTGGCACGGATCATGCGAGGAGGCGCTGCCGATAGAAGTGGTAAGAGTTCAAGGTCACGTGATGTGGTATTAGGATGTAATTAAAAGGAAAACAATCTTTTGATATATTACAATTTTTTTTGTTTAGAAAGGGAGGGACCTATTTAAATAAAAAATAAACCAATATCACGCTTCAGTCTTAGTTTGCACCAATTTTCGAAGTATATTGATTGTTTTAGTATTTATCTTTCGAAAAGTACTATTGAAAGGAGCAACTACTCTTTAAAGAGATTAAAATGATTTTGTGTGATGAAAAATGTATTTCTAGACAAAGCATATGGATTTTTTGTTTGGCTTTTTCCCCCCCAGCATTATGAGGTTGATTCACTGGTTTTCTGCTGTAATAGAGGTGATGAGACCTGAAATTGCAAAGGCTCCTTTCTAATCTTCAAATGTAGTAAGGGAGTCAGACAGTGCTGTGACCGTGCAAGAAATTACAGGTAGCAGTTTTTTTTTGTAGGAAACACTAAGAGATCAAATTTGTGTTTTGTCAGGGCTTATTCATGTTGGCGATGAACTTAGAGAAGTGAATGGCATACCAGTCGAGGATAAAAGGCCGGAGGAAATCATTCAGATTTTGGTAAGCCGAAAAGAATCCACTTCAGATTGCAGTGAAATAAAATGAAGGTGCTGGCTAGATAGCTCCACCCTCAGAGACACATATTCTGCATGTTCAAGACCCGAATTCAATGGCCAGCATGCATTGAAGACGTTACTGGTGCCCACTCGAGCAAATTGATGAACAACAGGGTGATAGTGATAGTGATGGTGGTTTTGTTGTTGTTGTTGTTTTTTGTTTTTTCTCCAGCATTAAAAACTGGTTTTAGCAGGAAGTACTGAGGAGATGGCTTAAGGAATTTGCATGCTGATGCCTGAGTTCAGTCCATAGCATTGCACGGTCCTTACAGTGAGCATCGCCGGAGGTGGCCCCTGAGCACTGAGCCAGGAGTAGGCCCGAGTACAGACAGCTGTGACCCCCTAAAACCAAAATAACAATAACAATAATAATAAATAGATGTTATCTGTGCTTTAAGGCACCATGCATATTTTGTTTTGAAATGACTATACGTGGATTGCATTTTAAAAGTGTGGAAGTACACAGAAGGAGGTAGAAGACTTACTGGTCAATATTTTTAAAAACTTCTTTGACAAGCTTTAGTGCTTTCTCAGATTACAGGAATTTTTCCAAAAATAGTTCTCTTCTTTCAGTCTAAGTGCAGAAACCCCTAGGTCATAAATTTTAGATGAATTTAGTTTTCTTCCTATTTGAACCTTCTTTTTAGATATTGTTTGTAATTCTTCCCCCCCCCCTTTTCTATCAGGCTCAGTCTCAGGGAGCCATTACATTTAAGATTATACCCAGCATCAAAGAGGAGACACCATCTAAAGAAGGCAAGGTAAACAGTCCTTAAAACACTTTTTCAAAAGAGTACAAAAACCCTTTTATTTCTGGGTGTGATGCTTGGGGGAGGAAAGGGGGCTCATGTTTTGTTATTAGACAAAATGACTAGACATCCTCTTTCCCAACAAATTTCATGCCTGTGTGTGTGTGTGTGTGTGTGTGTGTGTGTGTGTGTGTGTTTTAATGTATTTTAAAATCAGAGTTGGAAGAATGCAGGCCCACTAGCATTTTCTTTTCTTGCCTTCACTTTAAATGAAACTTTCTTCCAGATGTTTATCAAAGCCCTCTTTGACTATGACCCGAATGAGGATAAAGCCATTCCATGTAAGGAAGCCGGGCTTTCCTTCAAAAGGGGAGATATTCTTCAGATTATGAGCCAAGATGATGCAACCTGGTGGCAAGCAAAGCATGAAGGCGATGCCAACCCCCGCGCAGGCCTGATCCCCTCCAAGCACTTCCAGGAAAGGTGAGCACTGGCACGGCAGAGGAGCTATTCCTGCCGACCTTTCGTTCTTTGCAAAATATCATTCCAGTGGGAGTTGCCATCAAATAAACACTAAGCCTTGCCCGAGACTCCTTTATCCCCCAGGTTTGAATTTCTCTTTTGTCTTAGTGAAGAGTGGCCAAAACTGATGTGACAGTCCCAGGTCATTTTAAGGTTTTGTTATAATGCTTTGGGGAAACAGCACATTAATAATGGAAGCTGTATCCACATGAAGATTGATCGGGGGGATAGCAGGAGGTGGGGAGAATGTTTTTGGAAATCAGGATAATGTATAAAATGTTAAAAATCCAAGAATTGAGTTTTTAATTTAAATGGTATTGTATTCATTTTCCCTCCAACTTTTTTTCTTTCTGGTTTTTTTTTTCTCCTCTTAAGACTTTACAAAATCTTATTTTGGTGCTATGTTAGTCTTGGATCTGTACTGAAAACTGATAGGCATTTTGACCTTCTCTTCCCCTAGGAGATTGGCACTGAGAAGGCCAGAAATATTAATTCAACCTCTGAAAGTTTCCAACAGGAAATCATGTAAGTTTTTTCTTTTTTTTTTAATACAAACGCAAAGAAACCCAACTTCACTGTTCATTTTTGATTAAGCAGGTGTTAGTGGTAGAATGAGACATTTTATTATTTAGTGATAAATTTTGGATGATTAGTTTACTGGAACTAAATAAATAAAGCATTCATTATAGATGTATTACTGTGAATTGTATGAAAATTAGGAGTGTTTGGTGGTAAATATCAAAAGCCCCCACTCCTTAAGACTGTGATGTATAATCTCTGATTTTAGATGTTCTATAAATGTAACCTAAAATGCAACTCTCTTTGAGCCAGAAGTTTGGGTACAATATTTCTTGGTGAAAAAAGGCGGACAGTCTCCCACTTTCTTTGGAACAAAAGCAGCTGTCCTTCAACAACCATTCTCATTCTTAATTATTTTTTTACCTAGAAATTGTGACAACTCTCAACTTGAGCTTTTCCCTTCATAGTTACCATCAGGCTACAAAGAAAGAATAAGGAAGAAGATAGTGTAGGTCTGAAAAAGATTGTGTGTATTTATTTAGGTCCTTTCTTTTCCTTTCAACCTTCTATCAGCTTCTCTTTAATTTCCCCCTCCCACCTATCATGTTTCCATTACATAAATTTTCTACTTCATCTCCCCTAAATGTTTCATGGTTCCAGTTTTTTGTTGTTGTGGTTGTTGTTGTTTTTTTTAAGTGGTGGTCGGGGTCGAGGGAATCCTTTTGTTTTCAGCGTAGCAATTGTATATTCAAAGGCAAAATGAACAAATAAGTGGTCCCTGAATTTTACACCGACATCTGTTTTTAGTATTGTTGAGTTTTTCACATCTCCTGTTATTTCTGTCAGTTTGCAGAGGCTTATAGTCCAGGAATTACATTCTAAGAGAGCCAAACTGCAGTCGAGTATAAATCTCACAAACGAGCAAACACTTAAAGTGGAGCACTGATTCAAAAGCCTGCTTGTTCTTGCTCCACTTAGTCTGGGCAGAAGGAAAAAAACACTTGTCATAGAAAACCACAGGTATTGTGACATCAGACAACTCAACACTTAACCAGAATATTGCATTATTGATAAGTTTGATGAATTTTCACTGACAACTCATCCAGCCAAAAGGACCTTTGAGATATCCACCTGACGTTCTCTTGGAGGGATTTTTACATTTAGGATCTGTACATTTCTATGATGCTTGGTTCATTGGGGATAAAATATTTATTAACTTAAAATGGAATAAATATGGTTTTATTTGAGTCTGAATTCAACTTAAGTTAGGTTGAGCCTTGGGTATCTTCAAAATGGGTACTGTGACATAATTATGAAGTTTCATTACCTGAAAGTTTTTTTAGGTTAATGTGAGAGTGAAGGTTTTTTGGTGAATAAGCAAAGCATTCTTTTTAGTACTGCTCCCGTAACTACTGGTTTCAGTGTGTGTGTATGTGTGTGTGTGTGAGAGAGAGAGAGAGAGAGAGAGAGAGAGAGAGAGAGAGAGAGAGACAAAGAAAGAATAGCCTGAGAGCATGAGTAGTATGAATGAATACATTAATTGTAATGAATTTGGTTAATTTCTGTAATTTTTATGTACTAATATCATATCTCAATATTTGAATCTGGACAATAAATAAATACCTCTACATATCTATAGATAGATAGCTAGATCTTTCTGCCTTTTAAATACTTTTTAGAAAAGTCAACCTGTTCACTAGATTTTGAGTCAGTAATGGATGCTTGTGTGTTAATCATATTTAGATACTCTTTATTTTTAAATAAAAATAAACCCAATGACATTATTCAATTAAGATTACCCAAATTGCAAGTATTCTTGATTTTAAAATAAAAATCAGTCCTGTCAAGGTTATTCAAATTACTTAAATTTTCTAGATTAAATATGACTTGTTCAGAAAGTATATTTCTATGAATATAAGTAGAAAGCTAGGGTTTTTATTCTGAAAGAATTGAAATTTCCTTGAATTTTGTCTTCTAAACTCTTGAGCTCAGAGGTTGTGCATAAATCCCTGTTCTGGTTTGGAACATTTTAAAAGGCATCGAAAAGCACTTTGTTTTGTAACCTGTGTGTTTGATAATGATTCTTTATAAAACTGAATCTTGCAAAGGCCATCTGACTCATCTCTTCCTGGACTCAGCATTTAGTACTTAGATATTTGGAATATGATGTTCATGTTATCATGCCCTTTGCTGAATTATAGAATAATACTAAGAAGAAAAACAGTACATTAACAAGATTTTCTTTTTTACTTCTTTAAATAGCAATTCATTATGGTGGGTGGCAAGAAAAATTTGATTTAATGTAGAATTTCTAAAGGCAGAATTCCAGCATGTTGGTGTTTAAAGTTTTGTGAAAATTGTCATGTCAGCAAATACTTTTGTATACTAAATTTTACTTAAAATGTTGAAAGAAATTAAGTGTGAAATTTAAAATGAGGAGTGTCACGATGTTAGTAAATTAGCTATTTTTTCTCCAGGCTCATGATCGTGTACAGTATAAGTAATATTTGTATAGAGCAGTAGTTCATGGAAGACGGCTCTGGACCCCTTGGGATTCAGTTACGAAATGAATGGAGTCTTATTATCTTGTGTTATTATCTTGATATTGTTGCACCAGAGTTCAGTAAATATTAGTAAGGGTCATGCTTAATGTCAACCTTGTTAGGACTTGAAACTAGCATCCTTGTGCAAAACTTTTTATTCTGGGTGAAATTCGTTGTTTTTTGACTGTTGCTCCCATCCCTTAAGAATCTTGATGGAGGGGCTGGAGCTCTTGAACAAGGGGCACTTGCCTTGCACACAGCCTACCTGGATTCTATTCTAGACATCCTTTATGGTCCCTTGAGCACAGCCCAGAGTGATTTCATGAGTGCAGGGCCAGGAGTAAGCCCTGAGCATCACCAGGTGTGACCCCCCAAAAGAAACAAATAGAAGAATATTGGTGTATTTGTACTCAGGGATCACTCCTAGTGGTACTTGGAGTACCACATGGAGGGAAAAAAGAAGAATCTTGAAAATCTTTTCATATTTTTAATTTTATTTTTAAAATAAAATCTTTTAATAAAAAATATTAATCTCTTAAGTAAAACACTACCAAATACAAAAAACATGAACCCTTTTTTTAAAGAAAGTGTTTTTTTGAATCACAGTGAGATAGACCCTTACAAAGCTGTTCATGGTTAGGTTTCAGCCACTGTCACTGTCACTGTCCTCCCGTTGTTCATTGATTTGCTCCAGCGGGCCCAGTAATGTCTCCATTGGAGACTTTGTTGTTACTCTGTTTGGCATATCAAATACATCACGGGTGGCTTACCAGGCTCTGCCGTGTGGGCGAGACACTCTTGGTAGCTTGCCGGGCTCTCCAAGAGGGGTGGAGGAATCAAACTCGGGTTGGCCATGTTGGTTGCGTGCAAGGCAAAGGCCCTACCACTGTGCTAACGCTCCGGCCCAGGTTTCAGCCATACAGTGAAAAACATGAACTCTTAAAAAGATTAAACCTTTCCAAAATGTTAGAAATTAGAGTTCTACACTCTTAAGGATTGCCTCACCTCTGTCCTCCTATATTTTGGAAAACTACCAAACTTTGCTGGGAAATGGTTCAATAAAGAAGTTTAGAGTAGCAATCTTTTTTCTTTCATCTCTTGCCTGGTGTGATATAAGAAATTTATATGAATCATATAGATAGAAGACAAAACCTGGAACTCTGATGAACTTTCTTTGATAACTGACAGACTCAGGATCAGTGGTTTGGAAATCAAGTCAATAAGAGCATATCTAAGGTCTCAAGTAGCATAGAGGAGTAGTTTTTGTGACAGATATTTGGCATCTTGCATTCTTATGTTGATATAATTTAAAGTTCTCAGATTTTTCTTCCAAAAGTTTATTTTTATAGTATGGTAGCATATATAAAGAAATTTGATATCACCTACTCTTTAATAGAAATATAAATTTCTTTACTTGAAGTAGCATTTGTTTTATGAATTTAAGTAGCTAGCAACTGTCTAATAGCATAAATAGTGATTTAACTTTATTAGGGTGTAATTCATATTTAAATTGAATATATATGATCTTTAGAAAAGGCAGTTGTTCATATAGTATATTTTTCATAGAACTATATACAGTGTTTACTTTCATAGTTTCCAAAGTATAAATACTTGATTTTTTTCTAATACTGTAATAGAATAATATTTCTTTAGACTTTTTTCCTAATAAAAAAACTGGGAAGGGATTGAGTTGGGGCCACACCTGGTGTGCTCAGGGCTTACTTCTGGCTTTGTGCTCAGGGTTCACTCCTAACGGTGCTTGAGGGGTCATACATGATGCTGGGGATCAAGCTGGGTTTATCTGCATGCAGTTCAAGCACCTTACCTCTGTACTACCTCTCGGCCCTTATAAAATTTCTTAAAGAATAATAAAAATGCAGGGTTTATTTACTACTTGAAGACTAGAAGGTAAAGTCTTTTTAAAATATTTCTGTTTTAGGCACTATGATTTACAATACAGTTAATAGTACTTTTTATTTTTATTTAAAAAAAACATTTTCATTTCGGGCCTGACTGGGCTGTGCTCAGGACTTACTCCTGACTCAGCACTCAGGGATTATTCTTGATCAGCTTGGGGGCACTGTGTGTCGTGCCAGGGAGCAAACCTGGGTTAGACACGTGCAATTGCCTTAACTCCTGATAGGATTTCCTGCATCCAACACCATACCCTCCAACAGGGGCCCTGACACCCCTCCTCTGCCCCTCCATTCCCCTCCTTCACCCATGGTAAGCTCAGTTCTGTGACCAGTCTTCAGGTCTGCTGTATTTAGACACTTGTTATTCCCTTATTATGTTCCTTTATGTCCCACATAAAAGACCCTTCTCTTTCATTGATCTATACCAGGCTGTACTCCGGGTTTACTCCCGGTTTTGAGCTCAGGGATCACTCTTGGAGAGTGTCAGAGGACCATATACAATGCCAGGGATCCAATCCAGGTCAGCCATGTACAAGGCAAATACCTTTACCCTCTGTACTATCTCTCTGGCCCCAATCATTCTTCCCTTTTCAAGGATTTAACAAGTGATTGTTATTGTGGGGCTGGAGCGATAGCACAGCGGGTAGGGCATTCGCCTTACAAGCGGCCAACATGGCCGACCCAAGTTCGATTCCTCCGCCCCACTCGGAGAGCCCGGCAAGCTACCGAGAGTATTCAATATGCCAAACACAGTAACAACAAAGTCTCCAATGGAGACGTTACTGGGCCCGCTCGAGCAAATCGACGATCAACGGGAGGGCCTTTACCTTTACCTTTATTGTGGGGCTAATAAGGAAAATTTAACTGCATCCAAAATGTGTACATTCAAACAGGTGTAATCAGATTCATTGAAAGACAAGAATATTGTCACTTAACATTAATAAAAATCCAGACCTGGAGAGATAGTACCACTTGCCTTGTACATAGTTGATGCAGTTTCAATCCCTGGTACCCCATATGGTTCCCCTAGCCTGCCAGGAATGATCCCTCCGTACAAGCCCTGAGCACAGCTGGATGTTCACTTCCCTCCTCCCCACCCCCCAATGAAAATCCCAACCACCGTGGTCTTAAACAACAACAACAAACTGATCAGACATAGAACATAAAAAAAAAATTATCACTTAAAGTACACAATCTATTTATTGTCACTAATAAATAGTACACAATCTAATATTGTCACTTAAAGTACACAAAAGTATTTATACAGGAGCTGCCATCCCATATGGTCCCCTGAGCAATACCAGGAGTAATTCCTGAGTGCAGAGGCAGGAGTAACACCTGTGCATTGCCGAGTATGATCCAAAAAGCAAAAAAAAAAAAAAAAGTATACATAAGTAAAAAGAAATTGCTATGCAGTATATTTGGGACACCAAACTTTTGAGAATGTTTAAATGTTTTATTTATAGAATGTATAATAAAACCTGTGACTTCTGAAACTAATGTTTTCTATATAAACATATATAATGCTTAAACACATATATATAAAACTTTACATAAGCTTTCTAATGTTTTTATATATATAGTAATACTCTATATAGGTATTACTTTATATCTGTAAGTTGCAATATAACTTTTCAAGTTAAATGAAAGCTTTCCTCGTGGTATTATAAATAATGTTCATACAAAGTTAATTCAGAAATTAACAATTAGCTTGTTTGTATTACATTAAGTATGTATAAAACTGTTGAAGATTTTTTAAATATTGTTGAGGTTTTGTGAAGAGAACCACATACAGTCTGGGAAATGCCAGAGTTCAGTTTGTGTGGCAAAGGATGAAGGTTTACCAAGGTGTCAGTTGCATATCTGATTATATACATCACAAGACAGTTGAGATGAAGGTTTTTCTAATTGCTATTACTCACTTTCCATCTCAGTAAACCAGAGTGCTTTAGAATCATCATCAGGGTATGTGCTTGTATTTTCCCCATATGAAAAGTTCTAAGCCATACTCTTTCTAACATTTTGTCCTTGGGACCCAGTACCACATAGGTAAGGAAGAGTTTGTTAATGGGTGGGATCTGGTGTATAGTCTGTGAATTCTTGAAGAGTTTGAGGGAAGATTGCAGTAGCGGGTATTTGAGATATAGAAAAGTTGTTCCGAAGATGGATATTTTAACTTTTCCCAGGGAATAGTGTCACACCTATGTACACAGCTTCTCGATTTCAGGTGTGTCAGACATGCCCCACTCAGAGTGACAATCCTGCAGCCTTGAAAAGTCCTCTCAGCTCAGCTGTACTGAGCTCTTCTCATGCTCGCCAGGAGCCCTTTCCCTCCCATTCTCTGAAGATAGCAGAATGCTGTTTCTGGTCAGCCTTCCCTCTGTGATTCTTAGGATTTTCCCATCCTGTTTTCAAGTGTTCCAAGATAGTCTCTGGATCCATAGGTAATTGAAGAGTCAAAGAACATCGGTACACACTTTGTTCTAGTATTTTCTTTGACTTTCATTGAGAAAGGAGTAGCAGAGAAGTGATCTGTAAAGTGTTGCTTCTCTTAAAAGACGAAAAAAGGTTCTTCCACTGTAGAGGAATGTTCTAAATCAGACTTAACTCTTCAATCGCTAGCCTGTTAGTAACTTAGAATTGTTTCAGATTTTTTTTTTAAATACCTGACATCAAATAATAGAAACTGGACAAAAATAAAGAATTCTGATGGACTCATCTCATATGTATAATAAGTTGATATTTGTTAAGATATTCTTGCGTATATTGACAGGCGGTTAGGTCTTTTACGGGCAAAATTTTTTCCCTAAGACCTTCTCATGATTTTGTTTTCATTATACAATATCCTCAGTGTTGAACAGATTAGTTTACAGCCCTCTTTGTGAAGATATTATTAAAGAAAAAACCCTGGTGTTTTCTAGTTATTTTTTGTATTTGGATATTTAATAAGCTATTTGAGGGTTTTGATATTTTACTGCTAAAGTGTATGCAGTCTGTTTAGAGAAAGACCAATGCAGTCTAAAATGTGTTTTCCCCCCATAAATTCTGTTCTTTAAATAAATTTACAATACATTTGTTTTTTGTTTTTCCTTTGGCTTTTCTAAGATGAGGAAACAGTTGAGTGTGGTAGGTGGAATTTTTTTACCCCTCTTGGATGCAGTGTCTTCCCACTTCAACTGTATTTTCTGTATATTTAATCATTTTCCTTTCTCATTTTCTTTGTGCTTCTCAGAGGAAATTAAAGGTACATGTATAAAAGTTTCCCTGCATAGTCTAGTAATTTTATCTAGTGTTCATATGTATAGAATTCAATTGAATATAGCAAAAATTATAAGCGATTATCATATGACCATTCTTCAGCTTAGCATTCTAGTAGCCAAAATCAAGTTGGGCTTCATTTTAGGGGAAAAAAAACCTAGGGGGTGTCATATAGCAGAAATAGAAGAAATAATCTGAAATAGTACCTGTTTCTTTTTTTTCAATCCCGTCAATAATCTCAAAAGCAGGTTATGAAGAAGGAAAACTGTTAATTCAAAGATATCAACAGATTTTTTTTTAACAAGGATATGGGTAGAATCTTCTCAATTATTTCATTTCTACACAACCTGTGACATTGTTTTAGAAGTGTATTTATGTAAAGATTGGAGACCTAAAGTAAATCTACTACTCAAAATTTGAAGTTGTACAAAATCCAATACTCAATACCAATAAACAATAACATATTGTTTAAAAGTGCTTTCATCTCATTTTTAAGTGGAAATATTATGTTTTTATTATGTCCCTAAATAGAATCTTTCCCTATTAAAAAAAGATTTTATCGAATCACCATGAATTACAAAGTTACAAAAATATTCATGATTGGAATCGCTCCCTTTCAAAGAGATCAGATGCCTCTTAATCTTGACCTTTTTTATCCAATCCATTGAAACCAAACAAATACTGTTTTCAAATCAAAACCTGTTTTACAAAAATAAGTTTGCTTTGGGGATGAAATGTCATAATTTTCTTCACCATTGAAAGTACAAATGGCTCAGGCATATCTTTATACTTTTCTTGAATCTGTATCAAGGAACCTCTGAAGAAGGCTGCAAAAAAAATTGCATGTTTCAAAATATATTGCACTTAAATATAAAACAGAATGTTTTATGTTTAAGAGTGCCACGGTGAGGGGCTGTGCTATGCTGTGCTTTACATGATTGTTTGAAATAATTCATTTTTTTTGCATCTCTGGCTGGGCTTCTAACTCTTCTGCTTTATTTCTTGGCTTTTGTTCTGTTTGCTTTTACACTCCATCCAGAAGATGCTGACTCTGCTGGTAACAACAGTGGAACCTATATAGGTGAGCAATTGGTCGTGGAAGAGGACTTCTTTCTTTCTGTTGCTTCCTTCAAAACCATGAAGTTGTTTTCTCTTCACTTGGCACTTTTGCATTAGCATGCTATGATAGCTGGGGGAGTGGGGGCAGGGGTAAGTAGCATGATAGCTTTGATATGAAACAGGCTTTATGGGTTAGACACAGGATTTTCTCGTGTGCTCTGATTATTCTTCAGGAAGCTCTTCCAAACTGATATTTTTGTAAACCAGTATATGTTTTGGAGGGGTACAAAATGCATATTATTTGTGTTGGGTAATTTTATTAACAGTGACTGGGTTTTCTCAGTTATCCAGTTGGCTGTGAGTTACTCAAAACTTCTCAATAGGGTGTTCCTTCCTAAGTATCAATATGGTGATGTGTTCTAAGAATTAGCGTGCGCCCCCCCTTTATTTTCAGATTCATACGTATGTTTGTTCAGGTGAATGAGACGAGTTGTAGTTACTGGTTTTGGCATATCGAATACAAAACGGATAGCTGATAGCCATTTCGTCGGTAAAGAAACAAACAGCACCCGGCCCAGACAAGGTCAGACCTGAACACCTGAAGAACCTGCCATCAGTACTCATCAATACACTGACTCGGCTCTTCACTCGCTACCTGTCTGAATGCAAGGTTCCGTCCCAGTGGAAAACCAGCAGGACCGTACTACTGTTCAAGAAGGGAGACATCCATGACATTGGCAACTATCGCCCGATCTGCCTATTGTCTGTCATCTACAAGTTGTTCACTCGAGTCATCCTAAATAGGATTGGCAGAACACTAGATGAAGGACAACCATGCGAGCAAACCGGGTTCCGCAAAGGATTCAGCACCATCGACCATATCCACACAATAACCAAACTCATTGAGGTTTCTCGGGAGTTCAAGATGCCGCTCTGTTTAACGTTCATTGATTTAAAGAAGACCTTTGATTCTGTTGAGACATAAGCGGTCATTGAAGCCCTAGCCAATCAGGGCATTCAAGCCCAATACATCAAGATCCTCCGTGAGCTTTATTGCGGAATCACTACCAGGATCTCACCATTCTACAAAGAAGTAATCATTGATGTCAAGAGAGGGGTTCGGCAGGGTGATACCATTTCACCGAAACTCTTCAGTGCCACCCTCGAAAACATCATGCGACGACTGGAATGGGAAGGAATGGGAGTGAAGATAGATGGTCGGCAACTACACCATCTCCGCTTTGCTGATGACATTGTTTTAATAACACCAAACATCAGCCAAGCGGCACAAATGCTGGCCGACTTTGACCGTGAGTGTGGAAAGGTAGGACTACAGCTGAATCTTACGAAGACAATGTTTATGAGAAACAGCCTCGTTCCTGATGCCCCATTTGCTCTCAATGGAACGACCATCTCCGAATGCAACAGCTATGTGTACCTAGGTCGAGAAGTCAACATGACAAATGACCTGGCACCCGAGCTGCGCAGGAGGAAGACAGTGGCTTGGAACGCCTTCAAGAACGTTGAAGAAATAGCTAAGAGGATGAAGAACCTCTGGCTCCGGGCACATCTCTTTGATTCCACTGTTCTTCCTGCATTAACATATGCCTCAGAGACCTGGGCCCTACGCAAACAGGATGAGAACGCTATTCAGGTCTCCCAAAGAAGAATAGAAAGAGCTATGCTTGGAATATCACGTTTCACTCAAGTGAGAGAAAGAATCCGGAGTTCTGACATCCGTCGACGATCAAGAATCAGGGACGCTGTCTCATTTGCCAAGGTGTCGAAAATCAGATGGGCTGGTCACGTAATGAGATTTAAAGACGACCGCTGGACTAGAGCTGTTACTGACTGGATTCCATGGGACGTCAAAAGACCATGTGGCCGCCCACCTACCAGATGGTCAGACTTATTCGTCAAGATCATGAACGATCAGTTTGAGGCTCTTCATGTTCCCAGAGCAAACAGATGCCATTGGGCTACACTAGCACGCGACAGGGACAAATGGAGACGTTACTGGCGCCCGCTCAAGCAAATCGCCGACTAACGGGAAGTTAAGTGATTAAGTGACGTATGTTTGTTACAGTTTCTCTTGGTTAGTGCCAGATGTTGTATTGGTGTTTGAGAAATACTTGATGTCTGATAGTGTGAGATGCGTGGTATTTAGCCCACTCAAGGGAAACAAGTCTCAGAGTTTTTAGATTCTCCCCCCAACCTCACTTAGGATGTAAAGAGAGTGAGATAATGCCTCCTGGTTTCAGATCTCTCTCTGCAGAGCTATAATGCCTGTGTGGCATCATTTATTACATGCTCCTCTCTCATTCTTTCTACATAGCAAACCCCATTTAGGAATAAAGAGTGTTGCCATAATTAGACTAGAAAATTTAGTGTAGTAAGGGATGGTCAGAAAGTGATGGAAACATCTTTGGTTCTTGACTCATTTCAGATCAGTGCAGTGTTCTGAACAATTCCAGATATTCCATACACTCATTCACACCTATCCTTAGCCCTGAGGAGCTTGAGTGCCGTAAATCAAGGATCATCTTGGTCCCATGATTCTAACTGGCCGGCGGGGTGGTCCTGGTCTTTGTCAACCTAGTGGTTTTTTGCATTCTGGTGGTTTAGATGTGGTCTGGTTGGTCTGATGAGGGGAAGGCTCACAAGCTTGGTGAACTTGGTTCTGTTTCATCTGGTTTTCACCTTTCAGTAAACCAGCCCAAATCGCGGTACCAGAGAGCAGTAAGAAAAACTGGTCCCCAGTGTGACGGTGCTCTTGAAGCTCTGTTTTATATAGAATCCATTAATGACCCCTTGGTCAGAACAAATCTCCAGCCAGAGAGACCCCTGAGAGTTGGCGGAGCAGTATGAAGAGGTGGGCCACCATTTCTGCACACTCCATCTGTCCCCAAGAGAAAGAAGGAATCCCACTTTCTCTGACATAAAGGGCTTATCCTAGGCAAATTTAATGGCATGTGTATAAACAGTCTTTGAATAACTGTGGCATAAAGTAATATCTGATTTAAGGTCCCCCAATGCTTTAATTCAGAGGAAGGGTGATCATCTCACCCCAAAGCAGTTAGAGGCTGTTTGACAAAAAATGACAGGCGCACTGGGGGAGGTAACATTGCAATTGTAGAAGAGGATGAAAGCAGAAGCTGCAGTGTGGAAAGCGACTAGTATTGTAGGACACGGGCTTTATTAGTCTGGTGCCTTGCAAGTGACAGGTGTGGGATATACTGCGTCCCTTGATAAATTCGGATCTTCAAAGTCACGCAAGTTTTGTCTGATTTTTTTTTTTGGGTACACAGATTTTTCTTTGTCAAAATTTATAAAAAGAACAAGGGGTTCTACAGTACATGGAAACTTTATAAAATCAGGACTTGGTCATAAAATGCAGAATCATAAAAAAAAAGTGCAAAATGATCAGCAAGAGAGATTTCTTTAGGGAGCTCAAAGAAAAGGAATTCAGGTAAAATACCGTTGGATCCTGCCAACTTGGAATCACTAATCATATCCAAGAAACAACTTTACTAGAAACCAGATTTCTCAGTGTGAAGGATTAACAGAATCAGTGAAAGAAAGATTGAGCTGGAAGAAGCAGTGTCAAGAGTCAAGAGTCAAATAAACAACAACAACAAAAAAAGAGTGAGACTAGATTGTAATTCTTGCAACCACAAAACCCGGAGTCTTCTTGCTTTTTGTTTCTCAACCCATTCCCTCCCTCAGGAGCCGACCTCCTAAACTGTGATTAGCAGGCTCTTTTGTGCTTACAAACTACAGCTTTCTTACCTGTTTGTCTTTCTGACATTTATTGAGTAGTTCTTGTGTCCTGCAATTCTAGATTCTGAAACTTCAACAAAGATCAAAATAAGCAGCCTTTTTTTTTTTTAAATTTTATTGAATCATCGTGAGATAGTTACAAGCTTTCATGTTTGGGTTACTATCACACAATGATCAAAGACCCATCCCTCCACCAGTGCACATTCCCCACCACCAATATGCCCAGTATACCCCCCTTACCCACCCTCCCCCTGCCTTCATGGCAGACATGATTCCCCACAATCTTTCTCTACTTATGGGCATTATGGTTTGCAATACAGACACTGAGAGGTTATATGTTTGGTCCTTTATCCACTTTCTGCACACATCTCCCATCCCGACCAATTCATCAAGCCATCTTTTTCTTAGCGATCCCTTCACTCTTCCAGCTGCCTTCTTCCCTTTGCTCATGAGGCAGGCTTCCAGCTATGGAACAATCTATCTGTCCCATGTATCTACTATCCACCCCACCAGCCAGTTAGAATCATGGGACCAATAACATAACATCCTCATGTTATGTTGTTTTATACTCCACAAATGAGTGCAGTTCTTCTATGTCTGTCCCTCTCTTTCTGACTCATTTCACTTAGCACGATACTCTTCATATCTATCCATTTATAAGCAAAGTTCATGACTTCATCTCTCCTGACAGCTGCATAGTATTGTGTAGATGTACCAGGCCTGGAGCGATAGCACAGCAGGTAGAGCGTTTGCCTTGCACACAGCCAACATGGCCGACCCGAGTTCGATTCCTCCGCCCCTCTTGGAGAACCCAGCAAGCTACCGAGAGTATCTCGCCTGCATGGCAAAGCCTGGCAAGCTACCCATGATGTATTCGATATGCCAAACACAGTAACAAGTCTCACAATGTTACTGGGCCTGCTGAAGCAAAATTGATGAACAATGGGAGTACAGTGACAGTGACAGATGTACCAAAGTTTCTTTAACCAGTCATCCGTTCTAGGGCACTTGGGTTGTTTCCAGATTTTGCCTATTGTGAACAGTGCTGCAATGAACATATAGGTACGAATGTCATTTCTGCTGTGCTTTTTTGCATCCTCAGGATATGTTCCCAGAAGTAGTATCGCGGGGTCATATGGAAGCTCAATTTCTAGTTTTTGAAGAACTGTCCATACTGTTTTCCAGAAAGGCTGGACTAGTGGGCATTCCCACCAACAGTGAAAGAGTGTCCCTTTTCCCCTA